AAGTAATTAGAAACAAGCCGTACAAATACCGAAACATTTATTAAAACTATCACCTTACCGAGAAATTTAAGTTTAAAACCTCTGTTATCGTACAAATAGTTCAAAAAATCAAGACATCCTAAAAGTTTCTCTTAATTTTCTCGATATCTACTGAGTCAAGGGTCTCAAATTCTAATTATGAATTTAATCGCTAAAATAAAGACCTTAACTGTTTTTCATCAGTCTAGCACAAGGTAACTACAAAAGTTGGTTCAAAATCTGGTTTCACCTTGTTCATAAAATGAAAAATTTAATTGGGTTTCCGTCAGTTTGGAAAAAATGGTTTTTAAGTAACAAGAAAAGGTCACAGTTGCAGATCAAACCGAACAGAGAAACAATAACTGTTCAACTGCAGCAGTATGACTAAAGGCCAAAACTGATATGGCAAGGCTCATCTTCTTTGTGTCAGTGAGAAACAAACAAATTTTTCTTATAGCATATGGCTTATCGTTAAATTATTTTTTAACGAGCTTTGCATCCTCTCACACTTCTTCTTTATCTCCCATGGCCGCTTCGGCTTTCGGGTCGCGGAGGCAGACGCCTCAGACAATGCTTCCAACGTTCCCAATACTGTACCAGAGTATGAGCTTTTGCAGAGGACGACTGTTGTCTGGAGTAAGCTCCTTCCACATATTTACTTTAGGTTAGGTCTTGGCCGTCCCCTGGATTTTCTCGTTTTCGGTCGGGCAAGAAATAAAGAAATACTTGTTTCGCCTTCCTTTACGGAGGCATTCGCAACACATGCCCATACCATCACAGCTGTGACTTTTCAATCTGGAGAAGCAGAGGTCGTACACCAAGACTCTCCCAGATATCTGCATTCACGACCAAAGCGAGACGCGTAAGGACCGTCTCAGAAGGCCCATTTACGCAGCTTGTACTCGCGTTCGAAGTTTTTCAGGCATGGTTTACGATTCATGACCGTAGGTAAGTATGTGGATAGAGATCGACTAAAACACCGACAGCTTAGTTTTCAGACTGAGCTCTGCTTTAGTCACAATGGATCAGCTAACTCAGGCAGAACGCCATTCGCTACTCCAATTCGCCGGTCAATCTCTTCCTCCAGTTTTCCATTACTAGTAAATACAATTCAGCTGGACTTGCCACCTGCTCCACTGCCTCTCCGCTAATCTGAAGAGAGCAACAGATAGGATCCTCGCACGCAGCAGATCAAAATAAAAATTCAAACTACTCAACAAATCCGATAATTTCTACACTGGCAAGATAAAATTTGGTTTACTAGTGCACTGCAAAGGTGATAAGCAAAACAAAATCGAAATAAATAAAACTTTCCTAAATTTAATAAAATTATTTTTACGCAAGATATAAACTGTAAAACTAGATTTCGGTTGAACTACTCATTCTCGAAGTCTGGTCATAATTTTACTTCGTGCTGCTGCAGAATTTAATTAGCCTGATCCTGCGCGTGTTGTATTATCAGGTTCGATGATGAATTCTCCCAGACAAGAAACAAATAAATCAAGAAAGTCTACTACTTATCAAATAGTTTATTCTTCGTTTATTTACAAATGTATCAGCACTGTACTACAAACAGTTAGAGCCAACTGACAAATAAATTTATTTTGAAATTGCTACTTAAATGATGGAACATAAGCATATACTTAAGAAGTACGCCACAAACCAAGCAAACCAAAAGTTCATTTAAATGTTACTACGATTAATTCCAGTTAGAAATTCTTCAGCACTTTATCATGCACCAGATCAATACAACAGATTATAAGAACGAACAATAAGGAACTGGCTAAAATTAAAACAAGAAAATAACCAACTAATGCTTAATAAATAGATATAGGTGTATGACTGAAAAACACTGAAGGACAAAAATCTAAAATATACCAAATAAACATCACTTTAAAGGAAAGTAATGGGCAAAAACAGGTAAGACAGATGCGTAAGTAATGACCGATCAGTTTACTGACTCAATTCCCTTGAGCAAGCAGGGTGTTTGTGAATCAAGAGAAACGCTAGACTAAATGCTACATGAAATTTGAAAGTTCACTCCTGGAGGGGTCATAACAAAGCCCATTTTTCACCACAGGAAAGATGGGATGAATAAAAAGAGAGCATAAACCAGACAATTGATAAATAAGAGTATTTATATATTTACTAGGTTAGAGATAGCTGCATCCAAACTGAAACAATACAACACAATGTTACACGGGGCATAACATAAGTAATGTTAACATCCTCTTGGTCTCTGAGGGTTTGCACTGAAGCTTGGACAATGGATCTTTCAAACAGTTCAGTTCGAGAAAATACGCCGACTAGAATCAGGCAAGGCTATTATGCAGTGAGTGGGTTGCATTATCCAGAATCAACATGGCCATTTGTGCACTCTGATCGACATAAGATGCGACCACCGATATCAATCATCACTGTAAGGCAGCCATAGCCTGGAGACTAAATTTGGTCACTTCATGATAATCATAAAGTGACTAGCCTGCAGTGCCGGGGATACAGCAGCAGAAACATGCGCATAGAGGGGAAAGAAGATCAAGTTTCTAACTGTATTTAGGGGCAATGAAGTCCCCGCAGCCTTTGCGCGTGAAAACAGGCCTTGCAGCAGCGCTTTGCTACTGCTTGGAGGTGTTCGTTCCAGGTAAGGTCGGATGAAAGAATCACGCCGAGGTACTCCATCTGAGACACCAGCTAACTGCTAATGACCAGCACCTCAGTGAATAGCTGAAGAATCCTCTTTTCTACGCCTCGAAACATAGAGATTAGTTTTTTGGTCTTTTCCAGGTTCAGAATCAAACAACTGAAGAAAAACCTGCAGAGTGAAGATGCAGTTCTCGTAAGTGTTCCAGCCTTTGGTCGACTGCCGGGAGCCAACTACAACTGTGTCATCAGCACACTTAATATATTTTAGAAAAGCATCATCAGTAATATTGTTTAAAAATATATTGAATAACAACTGACAGAAATGAACCTTGGACTACAAAAAAGTTGTTCGGCACGACCTATGATTTCCGGCGATCACACTACACGAACTGACGACGGAGGGAAAGATAGTTAGCAAGCCACAGGAGGATCGAGTGGTCGACGGAAGTTGCAAGAAATTTCAGAATCGCGCCAGACTGGAAAGAAGAATGCAGTCCTAACGATTT